CATGACTTTTGTGCTCATGACCATCGCAGAAACACAGGGAGCACACATGGCTGTGGGTCAAAACCCTTCAAAATAGGTGGTACATGGGTGTTCATCCGTGGCCACATGATTGCTTGGTCAAAACCCTGTACCCCTGGTGAACATCAAAATAGGTGGCGCATTGATGTCCCATGACCACATGATTCCTGGCTTTTGCACGAACACATGACTTTTGTGCTTATGACCATCGCAGAAACACAGGGAGCAGCGCATGGCTGTGGGTCAAAACCCTGTACCCCTTGTGAAGATCAAAATAGGTGGTACATGGGTGTTCATCCGCCCCAAAATGGCTCGGCATAGGTGATGACCCATGGCCACATGATTCCTTTGGTCAAAACTCTGTACCCCTTGTCAGCACATGGGTGTTCACTCGGCATATACATGATGTCCCATGGCCACATGATTCCTGGCTTTTGCACAAAACACATGACTTTTGTGCTTATGACCATCGCAGAAACAAGGGGAGGGCACATGGCGGGTCCAAACCCTGTTCTCCTTGTGAGCATCAAAATAGGTGGCACACGGGTGTTCATCCGCCTCAAAATGGCTCGGCATAGGTGATGACCCATGGCCACATGATTCCTGGCTTTTGCACAAAACACATGACTTTTATGCTTATGACCATCGCAGAAACAAAACCCTGTACCCCTTGTGAACATCAAAATAGGTTGCACATGGTTTTCATCCGCCTCAAAATGGCTCGGCATAGGTGATGTCTCATGGCCACATGATTCCTGGCTGTTGCACAAAACACATGACTTTTGTGCTTATGACCATCGCAGAAACAAGGGGAGGGCACATGGCTGTGGGTCCAAACCCTGTTCTCCTTGTGAACATCAATTAGGTGGCACATGGGTGTTCATCCGCCTCAAAATGGCTCGGCATAGGTGATGACCCGCCATGGCGACATGATTCCTTAGGTCAAAACTCTGTACCCCTGGTCAGCACATGGGTGTTCACTCGGCATACGTGATGTCCCATGGCCACATGATTTCTGGCTTTTGCACAAAACACATGACTTTTGTGCTTATGACCATTGCAGAAACAAGGGGAGGGCACATGGCGGGTCCAAACCCTGTTCTCCTTGTGAACATCACAATATGTGGCACATGGGTGTTCATCCGCCTCAAAATGGCTCGGCATAGGTGATGACCCATGGCCACATGATTCCTGCCTTTTGCACAAAACACATGACTTTTGTGCTTATGACCATCGCAGAAACACACAAACACATGGCTGTGGGTCAAAACCCTGTACCCCTTGTGAACATCAAAATAGGTTGCACATGGGTTTTCATCCGCCTCAAAATGGCTCGGCATAGGTGATGTCCCATGGCCACATGATTCCTGGCTTTTGCACAAAACACATAACTTTTCTGCTTATGACCATCGCAGAAACACAGCAAACACATGGCTGTGGGTCAAAACCCTGTACCCCTTGTGAACATCAAAATAGGTGGCGCATGAATGTTCATCCGCCTCAAAATGGCTCGGCATAGGTGATGACCCATGGCCACATGATTCCTGGCTTTTGCACAAAACACATGACTTTTTGTGCTTATGACCATCGCAGAAACACAGCAAATAGGTGGCACATGGGTGTTTATCCGCCTCAAAATGGCTCGGCATAGGTGATGACCCATGGCCACATGATTCCTGGCTTTTGCACAAAACACATGACTTTTGTGCTTATGACCATCGCAGAAACACAGCAAACACATGGCTGTGGCCTGTACCCCTCGTGAACATCAAAATAGGTGGCACATGGGTGTTCATCCGCCTCAATATGGCTCGGCATAGGTGATGACCCATGGCCACACGATTCCTCGCTTTTGCACAAAACACATGACTTTTGTGCTTATGACCATCGCAGAAACACAGGGAGCACATGTACCCCTTGTGAACATCAAAATAGGTGGCACATGGGTGTTCATCCGCCTCAAAATGGCTCGGCATAGGTGATGACCCATGGCCACATGATTCCTGGCTTTTGCACAAAACACATGACTTAGCAAACACATGGCTGTGGGTCAAAACCCTGTACCCCTTGTGAACATCAAAATAGGTGGCACATGGTTTTCATCCGCCTCAAAATGGCTCGGCATAGGTGATGACCCATGGCCACATGATTCCTGGCTTTTGCACAAAACACATGACTTTTGTGCTTCTGACCATCGCAGAAACACAGCAAACACATGGCTGTGGGTCAAAACCCTGTACCCCTTGTGAACATCAAAATAGGTGGCACATTGGTGTTTATCCGCCTCAAAATGGCTCGGCATAGGTGATGACCCATGGCCGCATGATTCCTGGCTTTTGCACAAAACACATGACTTTTGTGCTTATGACCATCGCAGAAACACAGCAAACACATGGCTGTGGGTCAAAACCCTGTACCCCTTGTGAACATCAAAATAGGTGGCACATGGGTGTTCATCCGCCTCAAAATGGCTCGGCATAGGTGATGACCCATGGCCACACGATTCCTGGCTTTTGCACAAAACACATGACTTTTGTGCTTATGACCATCGCAGAAACACAGGGAGCACACATGGCTGTGGGTCAAAACCCTGTACCCCTTGTGAACGTCAAAATAGGTGGCACATGGGTGCTCATCCGCCTCAAAATGGCTCGGCATAGGTGATGACCCATGGCCACATGATTCCTGGCTTTTGCACAAAACACATGACTTTTGTGCTTATGACCATCGCAGAAACAAAGCAAACACATGGCTGTGGGTCAAAACCCTGTACCCCTTGTGAACATCAAAATAGGTGGCACATGGGTGTTCATCCGCCTCAAAATGGTTCGGCATAGGTGATGACCCATGGCCACATGATTCCTCGCTTTTGCACAAAACACATGACTTTTGTGCTTATGACCATCGCAGAAACACACATGTTTCAACTCTTTCTGGGGGGGTTGCAGGACTTGGGGGTTAGTTGTGCTGCTCCCTTGTGCCTGTTCGCACCGCCAGTGGCGCTGCCCACCGAGCCCTGCGCGAAGGGCAGGCATCGGCAGATCGGTCCGCGATCCGAAAGCCGGAAGGCTCCATGAGGGTGGGTCAAAAATAGTTGGTAACCCCGAATGGTTTCCTCAAAAATAGTTGGGGTGGTGCCGGGTAACCTCAAAATAGGGTAACCTCAAAATAGTTGGGGTAACCCCAGAGTGGCGCAAACCCTGGTATATGGAAACATGACTGAATCCTGCGGTCCGATTCCTAGTGGTTTAATTTTGACCCATATCCATAAGAATTTCTGTAGCACTGCGGTGGATAGAGAACTAAGACGCTAGAAGTGCGCGCAGTTGCTCGCAAAGCCGGATTCTATTGGTGGGCTGCTTCTAGTGTGCTGGATTGCCACACTTGTTATGCCCTGCATCCAGTGTTACGCTGGTGACAGGAAAGGAGCATGTGCTTGACAGGCCTGGGCCATGATGGAAATAGTGCACCAGCTTCACAGGTTCCCGCTTTGCGCACAATCATGCCAAGCTGCGCCGATTTGGTTTGTGGGGGCCGGGGCAGCCCGGCAAGGTTCCATGGAAATGATCTGGTGGAAAGAGTAAATGACGAGCCCCAGGTGCTCATCATGTACATTTCTCATACAGAAACTGAACAAACTGATTTAACAGTGCGTACACATACATATATGCACATAGACCCAGATCACTGGGCCACCTGACAGTTTTGCAGAGGCGGATCATGGCCGCCCGGCTCGGTGTTGGGAATCCACATGTGTCAAAATGGGGCGACCCCCCCAAAATGGTGGTTTCTCTCTTGGTATGCCTTTGGACCAACCTGAAAAGGCTACCCTCGAAAGAGCTCTCACACACGCGTCCATATGTTCGGAAGTCCGCCTTCCCCGGGGAATGTGGTAAGACTTTTCGAGGCGTTCTTGGCAGAGGAGCCCGCAGCTCAGCCCGGTCACTCCATGGAGTCCAAATAGGTGGGATGGTGTAGGATATGGGCGCTCATCCAATACGAGTCTGTGCCCAAGGGGTTGTCACTGGACACATGCAATGTAACATACACATGGAAGTGCGCAGACCCCCCTTTCCTTGCAGAAGGCTTCTCTGTTTTTTTCACTTGGTTTTTTGACATTGAGCCTTGGCCTTGAAGGATTTAACGTTCTGAGCGTTGACCAAGACAGATTCTCAGATTTCCTGTCCAGTTGGTTTGTCTTCTCGCGGTGCTCGGAAGTTTGGCCGAGGTCCCTACGAAAAGTCTTGGCTCAGGAGGCGCGATGTTTTTTTTTGTTTGTCGCGAGCTTCGATTGGCGCTGCGGCCCAGTGGCGAACGTTGGCTTTACATGATGTGACAGAAGATCAGGTAGATGGTCCGATTGACATGAACTCTAGGAACTTAGGAAGTCCATGTGTTTGATTGTATTTGCTATATGTTGTTTGCACTGGATTCGATGAAAGCGTCCCGGACGCTTCTTGCCAGATTTCCATCAACGGCTTTGCCGGATGTTCTAGAGATCATCAGATTGCGGTGCACGATCTGTGCATGCTTCCCACCTCCATCAGACGCTGGGTCTCAAGTCTGAGCACATTTTCTGGGCCCACAATTTTCACTGCTCTCAGATAGGATAAAGTAAGTCGCCTCTGAAGCTACCTTGTGACCAACCGAGAATGGCGAACCAACAATTTAATATAGCTGGCTGGTCTTTTGGTGATCAAACAACCAATGGCCACTTTCCTCTTTGGTGGCAGAACAATCCCCCAAGGTCGACAAGGTCCCATCCAGATTTTGTTTTTCTTCTTTTTGCTGGTCTTGGATTCATCCGGAGAGGGTCTTGTCCTGTTAAAGGCCCTGCCTTTGTTCGTGTCCAGCGAGGAGGGGGCCGTGCCCAGCTGGGAGCTGCAGATGGCGACCTCCGGGCGCATGAACGCCCTCGAGGACCGGCTTTTTGTGGCGTTGAGAGTTGCTCAGCTCGCCAGCCACAAGTTGTTGCATTTTTTTTGTGTGTGTGTGTGTGTGTGTTTTTGTGTTTTTTGTTGGGTTTCCGGTGAGTTTCCTGTGGGTTTCCTGTGAGTTTCTGGGTTTTTCCTCCTCCTTCCGTGAGGCAATTTGCGGCCTAGTGGCTTGGGAGAGGTCACAGCAGAATACGACCAGATCGCCTGCCATCCGTTGACTGGGACAATGATGCAGGGGCATGTTTTTTGTTTGTTTGTTTTTACATAATGTTTCCTGCACCGTACCGGTACCGCATCCACATTCGGTACCGATTTGGTTTGTTTTGTGGTGCTGGGCATGCGTCAGCACAAGCTTGGATTGGGTTGTCCAAACAGTTGGACATGTCTCAGCAACAGGGCATTTGTTTGTTTTTGCTGGCCAGTAAAGCATCAGCCATCATTTAGCCGGCCTACAACACTGGCTGATGAGCCCATCTAATTGCTTGTAAGCCATATGGTGTGCCATTTGCAAGTCTCATTTGTCCCAGTGGAATCAACCCTGTGTGTGTGTGGTCAATTTGAGACGGTGCTCAAAGGATGATGTCCGTATCCTCTGGGTGAAGTGAGAAGTCCTTGAGTATTCCTGTGCCAAACTTGCAGCGTTCGATCCATCCAACTAGTGCGGCGCTGCTTTCTCGGAACGTGGATTTATTTTGGCTTCGATGTCTCAGGAGCTCATGTCCTGGAAAAACTTACAGGGCGTTCTGCAAAATGCCTCGGACTTCGTGGGCCACTTGGCTGATTCCTACGAGTCGGCTATGGATCCAACCTAGTGAGTCGAGGTGGGATGGTTTACGCGGCTTTTACGGCTGGGTCGAATTGGGAATGAAACGAGGGTTCGGAGTTGACGGAGGGTATGACCTGGGAGATATGGAGGAGGGTCGGGGGTGGGGGGGGCCGAAAGGTTGACAGCCTACCTCTACATATGATTATATTATCAACATGTATTCTCACTATGAATCCCTGTGTACATGTAAACCAGATACCTTTTCCTGCAAAACCATAATTTGTATATATTGAATTCAACACATGTAGACAAGTAGATAGAGATAGATAGACAGCTAGGCAGATCGATAGATTGATAGATGGATCGATATATATATATATATACACACACATATGTACCATACTCCATGAACTCCTGGGGATGGCCCAGGTGACATTTGGATCCTTTCACCCAAAGTCTCGGTTTCGTCCACTCCTTGCCTGACAGGCGGTTTTGGGAACAATCAAGCCAGCGCATGGGCCGTGTGCCAGTTCTTTTCGTCAGCCTGCGTCATTTTTGGGCCCATGGCATCAGGCCATTCTGCTCACCGGCCACAGCCAAGCAAGCCCGCAACAAGGCCACCAACCCATATCTTAGCAGTTCCCAGCCGTCCCCTTAAGTTTTTGGGGTTTAGGGGGGGTTTTCGTTTAACCCACTAAAAGTTGAATCTTTAGCAGGGGATCTGAGCACAGCCCAGATATGGCGAGATCCCTGTTGAAGCAAGGATCCCTTCCAGTCAAACCGGCTCGCAAGGCGAGCGGCCCGTGCGGGCAGAGCTGGGCTTGAACCTTGGGCAGAAAATCTTTGCGTTGGCCGGGGTCACCAATCTGTGTTGGATCACAGTCATCGGCGAGCCCATCTCTGCCAAAACAAGCAAGGTTTGATCGGGGGTACCACAGCGATTCACGCATTGGTGGCTTGAACATGGGCCTTTTCAGTGAAGTTGCAAGGTTCATGACTCCAAACTCATGAACTTCTGATCCTTCATGGTCAGCGCAAATCCAGTGGGCTCTTTGGCAGCTGGAAGTTTTTCCCGCTTCTTTCCTTTATGCTGCACAGGTTGCTTTCTGAAGCTCGACCTGCCTATTGGCACCAAGTCCCGCGTTTTCCAATACAGTTCCCCTTCTTCCCCATTTCCCTGCTTTTCCACTTTTTTTGCTCCTGCCCCAAGCCACTCCAGTGCTCGTCCGACGTATTTCGAAGTTGCTTTCCCCTACTTTCACCCAGGTGTTTTCAATTCTGCTCAGTCTGAGACCAGTGCAGGAACAGCCCGGCAGCAGTATATAGAAAACTCCGGGTGTCGGATCTTTGGGGCTATTTTGGTGGTGGCCCAAAAAGCGGACCCCTCCCGCTTGTACATGTTTGTTTACATGGTGTTTTTTTGTTCTTCTCTCTTTGTCTACATGTTTGTTTGCATGGTGTTTTTTTTGTTTGTTTTTGTTTCTCTCTCTCTCTCTTGTGGCAAGGAGCTTGCTGGATGGGGACCCGGGCGCCCGCGGCGCCCTGGACCTCCGCCTCCAAAAGGCCGCGGCGGCCTTGGCGGACGCGTCGCTTGCGGCGTCCGAAGCCTCGGCGCGGCAAGCGGCGCTGCTGGCGGTGCACGCGGCGGCCACCCGGAAGTGGGACGATGCCCGGCGCCTGATCTACCAAGGCACGGGTCTGCACGTGAAAAATGGGGTAACGCCCCCCCCCCCCCCCGTGGTAACCCCCAAAATTGGCTTGTCCTGGTAAACGGAAGCAAGGACAATTTATATAACCTGTTTTTTTCCTGGCGGTTTAGTTTTGACCCATGCCCACCTAACTTGTCGGATTGAAACAATTCAGAAATGCGGGGTCAACAAGGCAGGACACCCAAGAAACATCAGGATGTGAGTGCAAAGCAAGTGATGGTCAGTCAAGCAACTTTGTCCTTCAAATTGGCGTGCGCGATTTGTAAGGCAGAGATCAGGTTTTATTGCTGCACCAAGGACAACCTTTGTAAGCTCAACCAACATCCATCAATAATCACCTCCCCACTTCCTGCGTGTTTGCTCCCAGTTCATATTGGCAAGGGGATCAGAGGAATCATTAGGTGCTGTTTCACCATCCTTCTGATGTTTCTGCCGAACCGACTGATGGGAGAAATAGCGTATCAATGCTCTCCAGACAGATGTCAGCTTGACGATCCGTCCTCGACGTGCGGGACTCCAACAAGGTATTTTATGTCTGTTGGTCTGCTTTTTTTTGAATCGAAACAAAACAAACGTTGCTTAGTCTCCGGCCCAAATTTGACGTTGGCTTCTAGCAAACGTTGACCCGAGCGGCGCGAACGCGCGCGCGCGCGCCGCTTCGGCGCAGGCTACGATGCCTTCAGCGGGGCGTGGAACCGCCTGCCGCTGCTGGCGCAGCGGGCCCGGCACGAGCGGCTCTCTGCCCTGCCGCTGCTTCAGGCAGAGAGCGAGCAACCGGAAGGGCACGTCTGGGCTCTGGGCCTCCCTTGGATTTCATTTTTGGGGCACCGTAAGAGGCATACTCTTGCCTGTTTGATCTAGCTTCCGGCAGGTTGACTTGCAGCATGGCACATGTGAAAAGACCGTGCTTGCTGGATGGTCTTCGCAAATGAGAGTGAAGGCTAGGTCGCTAGGCAATTGTCCGCTGCCCTTGTCTTCGATGATGGTCTTTTGTTTTCGGTGCAGGAGGGTTTGAACAGGTGCTCTTGGGTCTTGCACATCAGGGCTCTTCGCCCTTGCGGCACAAGCAAAACATTGATGTCAAAAGGTATCATTCGGCCAAAGGTCCAAAAGGGTGCACCCAGAGATTCAGATTCAGCTCATCACAATTCAAGGTCACAGCTTGCTTGCACTGAAGTCATGAACCCTTTTGACCATATTATGGCAGTGGGTCAAAACCAATGGTACCATTTTCGGATAGGTGCACCACCCATTCTAGTCGTTCACTGGGGGTACGATTTGGATTTCGACCCATGGCCATATCGCGCCATATCGGACCGCCATATCGACGATTGCGAGGGCCTGGAGCAGTTCTTGGAGACCCCCGAAGAGACGCAGAAGGGCGCGGCTTTGAGCCTCCAGCCGCCCGTTTCACGGGCGGTTTGCCCGGGGGGAATTTTTTGGGGATGGTTTTTGGGGTTCTTCATTCGACGGTGAACAAGTGAACATCAACGTTTTCACTACAAAGGAGAGGATTTGAGTGGTTCCCTTTTCAATGAGCCTACCAAGTTGGTCACTTCGAGTCTTGATGGAATGTGGGCGCTCGCCAAGAGTGAAGCGATTAGCAATGACTCGGAACGACAGCGTCTCTCGGTTTTTGTCTTTTCCACTGACGTTTTTCTGGCAGCAGCGCTTGCTTTGAACGACTGCACAAATTGGGAAGCTACTACTCTTGTGCTTTGTGCCAGTCCTCCGTGAGTCCTCACGACAATAATTGGCAAACAGAGAGCTCACTTTCTTCGTGTGTGGTTTTGACTGGCCCCAATATATCGCCATTATCAAAGTCACCCCCTAAGTGGTAGGTCCAAGGGAAACCACCTCAGTTTCTGACAACCACAGAAATGGCCAAAATAAAGACGCCCAGACTACACCAGAGTTTGCACACCTCCGGTTGAACCCATGCGACCCCCATTTGCTGACTTTGATAAGCCAAGAAGCAGTCAGAATAATGACCCCAGTTTGATTCTCATTTTTTCCGGTCGTATGTTTGCATTGCTGTACACCTTGCGTAGCTTTGCGGCAAAACGATGAAGCACGCAAAAGCAACACGCGACAACGTGGTATTTCATACTCCATGGACTTAATTTGTGTCCATTCATTAATTCATTCCTTCATTCCTTCATTCCTTCATTCCTTCATTCCTTCATTCCTTCATTCCTTCATTCCTTCATTCCTTCATTCCTTCATTCCATTCATTCGTCCGTCCGTCCATCCATCCATCCATCCATCCATCCAGTCACTCAGCCATCCATCCAATTAGTCATTCCGTCAGTTCTTTCCGCCTTTCATTACTCTCATTCCCTTCATTCATTCACTCCCTCAGTCCGTGAGTCCGTCCGTCCTTTCCGTCTTTCCGTGGGCTCGTTCCGTTTTTTCCGTCTTTCTACTCATTTCGTCTTTTATTGTTTGTCTTCTTTCTTTCTTGTTTGGTTTCTTTTTATTTCTTCTTTGTTTCCATTTATCAATTCATCCATCTATCCATCCAATTAGCCATTCAGTCAGTTCTTTCCGCCTTTCTATTCAGTCGTTCATTCTTTGTGTCTTCTTTCTTTCTTTTTTAAAATTACACCAGCCTCGACCCCAAACAGCAAAAAAGCATGACAGGTCTGTATAACCCGAAAAAAGCTTGTCTCCTTCATGTAAGGTGCGAAATTTAGTAGCTTATGTTAGCAACACATAGTTACAATCAGTCTATGTATGTCCCTGTAGGAAGTCCCCTTTTTTGGGAAGAGGACACATCGGGTCCATCCATCTCCTTGACGCCGGGTAAAAGCATCGATGTTGTTCATCGACTTCGAGGAGGAAAATGCCATGTCAATGCCATGTTCGAGAGTGAGGTGAATCAGCCTAACACCTGGCATTACTCAAAGGAAGTTTCGAAGGAACTTCCGTAGTACGGACACTCAATGCACTTTTCCATCACCGCATCAATTGGTGGCCGTCTCGCTACTCTGCTGAAACTTGCGCATCAGTCTCAGCAGCTTGCGGCCGAGACTGGGCACATGCCACTTCTGGTTGCTATCTTCTTCTCGAGCTCGGCTAAAGGTCTTGCCACAAGCAAGGCAAGAGAACTTGCATAAAATTGCAGACTGCGGCGTTAGCAACTCTTATTAGATTATACAGCCACCGAACATGTGTCGAAACATGGCCATGACCGTGTGCACATTGAGCACCAGAGCCGCCGTTCCGTAATGTTGCGGGGAGTTTGCCACGCACGCAGAGCGAGCAGCACCGAAACCTTTTGCGAGAACAGGTCGGAATCGATGTTCAAGGCGTAGTGGAGGCGAAGCTGTGTCGTCAAAGAAGAAATGGATGGGCCATGTCTTTAGCACGTGTTGCTTCGGTGAGCGATGGTCTTGATGCTATGAGCACATCCCTCCAGCTTGGTTTCCCGACAAGCCACGTATGCTGCGAGCAAATCAGAATCTCGCCCAGAGCTGCCAAATTCAAGTCGAGATCTCGGAAAAGAACGTTGATTGCGAGAATGAAATGGAATTGCTCGGATTTCCAAAAATACTCACTGCGGGAGGCTAGCACAAGCGCCGTGCAATACAGCTCACGTTGAACCCCTTTGGTGTTCTATGGGTCCAGAGACTGTAGGGAAGCTGGCGCCTCAGAGAATGACAATGGCACCTTGCTACGTTCCACCATGAAAACCCTTGAGCCCTCGCACTTGCAAGCCCTGAGCACTTTCGGACACGTGCAAAACAGCAGCGTCCATATTGCGGAATATGTGGAAAACAAGGCTGAGAAATCTGTCTTCAACCCTTCTGTCAGGAGGCGACGAGATATGTCAAAGCCGCGACCTTGGCATCACGAAGGTGTGAAATGCTTCAGCAAATGCATGTCAGTGGGACTGGATTACATCGGTTGCAAAGAGGAAAAAGTGTCGCAGGACCAGCTAGCGAAGCGAAGACTGGATATGATTTTGGCCGGGCCACATGGCTATCCAACTGAGAAGGTGCTAAATACTGGCAACAAGATAGGAGGCGAGGTTTACAACAGCATTGCCAACAAGAAAGGGTGCTCGAACTACAGTGATGCTACTAAAAGGAAACTAGAAGATGGGTGGCCCGAAAGCATGAGCAGTGCACGGCGCCAAGTATTCCTAGCAAGTTCTCTACGCAAGCTCCTCTGAGCAAGTTGTTGGCGCGAGTTCCTTTGAGCAAGTTCTTGGCACAAATTGTCTGAGCAAGTTCTGAGAGCAAGTTTCTCTGAACAAGTTTCAATGAGCAAGTTGTCTGAGCAAGCTCTCTGCGCGCAGCACTTGCCGCAACGCACTGCAACTTCCTAGTGCAACTCACTACGGCAACTTGCTAGTGCCCCTTGCTGGTGCTACTTGCTAGCGCCACTGGCTAGCGCCACTGGCTAGCGCTACTGGCTCGTGCATCTCACTAGCGCTATCTTGCTCGTGCTACTGGCTTGCGCCATTTTGCTAGTGGCATTTTGCTAGTGCAACTCGCTAGTGCTACTTGCTAACGCAACTTGCTTGCGCAACTTGCTGGTGTCATCCGCTGGAGGTCTTTCCTGCAGCGCTCCTGCATCCCTAGCATCATCAGTCGCCTAGAGCCCCCGCTTCATACGGGGTGGCGGACCCGCGCAAGCCCTCTAGTTGCTTCGCTGGTAAAATGCTTAGTGGAGCCGTCCCCTTCTCCATTTCAAGGGTTTGTTGACTCGGAGCAAAACTGTCAACGAAACGGTCGCCTTCTCTGTGGCTCACCACCCTCACACTCATCATCACCCTCCTTCTCCTCATCATCCTCGTCATCCTGACCCTCATCACCATCATCATCATCCACAGAATCAACAGAGTCCTCCTCATCCACCCTCATCATCACAGCGCTGCAAAAGTCCAAGCTAAATGCTGTGTGTTTAGCCTCAATTGTCTGCCACTTGTCCACCTGCGCACCTGCATTAGGCCAGCACTCGCAAATGCCAGCCCAGTCTGGTCAACTCCACAAATGCTTTCAGGATCCTTCTTGTTAGAAGATGCTAGAAGGCACCAACCAGAAAATGCCAACAGGAAAACATGTCAAGAAACCGCTTTTTAAAGTGTGTCTCCGCTGTCGAGTCAGCGCAGGCCACTTGGCTGGGCTGCTGATGCGCCGCAAGTCCTGCACTTGGCCAAGAAGCGCGGCACTGGCTTCCAAAAAGCAGCTCAGTATCCCGAGCAAAGCAATCAGCCGCATGTCCCAGTATATCTTTGTTTATCGAGAAAACAGACACATTAAAGGCCACAAGGATGCAAACTTGCAGTTGACCAAGTGCGGCACTGGCTTCCAAAAAAGCGGCGGATGTCACGGTATTTGTTTATCGAGAACAAAAGTACATATTCAAGGCTTGACGGGGCTCTGCTGATGCGCCAGAAGCACTGGCTTCCGAAAAGCAGCTGATGTGCCACAAGGTTTCAAACCTGCAGTTGACCAAGAAGTGCGGCGCTGGCTTCCACAAAGCAGCTCAGTATCAGCCGGATGTCACGGTATTTGTCTATCGAAAACAGTCTACAAATTTAATTGGCTCGACAGGGCTCTGCTGATGCGCCGAAAGGGTGCAAACCTGCACTTGACCAAGAAGCGCGGCACTGGCTTCCAGAAGCCAGTGCCGCACTTCTTGGCCAAGTGCAGGTTTGCATCCTTGTGGCGCACCAGCAGGGCCCTATGTCTATGTTTCTCGATAAAAAGACCTGATTGCTTTGCTCGGGACACTGAGCTGCTTTTTAAAAGGTAGCTCAGTATCCTGAGCAAAGCAATCAGCCGGATGTCACGATTTGTTTGTTTATCAAGAAAAACAAACATATTCATTGCTTGCTTCTAGCTCCAACGATGCTCCACAAGGATGCAAACCTGCACTTGGCCAAGAGAGAGGCACATCCTTGCACACAGGCTAACAGCAAAATCTGCGACACGCCCTTTCCCCATTTTTGCAAGCCGTTCCTGCTGACTTCGAATCTATGTTTCTAGCTGGACTGCTTTTGATGCTTCTCAATTGTGCTTGCGCGCTGCTGCCACAGGGAGCCGAAGGGAGCCGGAGGGAGCTGAAGGGAGCTGAAGGGAGCCGAACGCCGTTTACAGGTCAGCCTCAAAACTGGGTAAGTGGAAAACAGGACCCCGGAACCGGCGTCACACTTTCCCATTCTATATACCTCAAGTTAGAACCCCAATGCTTCGCTGCTTGGGGAATAAAAAAGAAAATATACATTTATAAACAAACATGATAATAATGTTTCTTCTTTGTTTCTTTCCTTCTGGGTTTTGTGGTGCCTCAGGCACGACCGCTTCAGCGCCTGGGTGGACCACGCCTTCGGCCAGGTGGCGCTGTGCCGCCTCCGAGGCGACGGCCAGGCAGAGGCCACCGCCTACGCGGAGCTGGGCAGGAGGCGACCCGGCGACCGGGACCGGAGGACGGCCACGGCGGGTTGGAAGCGGCTCTTTTGGGTGTCTGTTTTTCTTCTTTTTTGGTTTTTGGGTGTGTGGGGTGTTTTTGGGTGTGTGGGGCTTTGTCTTTCTTTCTTTTTTTTGGGGGGGGGGGTTCTCGTTGTGTTTCGGTGTTCTTGTTTTTTTTGGGGCTTTTCTCGGTGTTTTTTGGTTTTCCTGTTGTTTTGCGGATGTTCTGTTTTGTTTTGGGAACTTGTTGGCTTGGTTGGTTTTGTTTTGTGGATTTGGGTGGTTGTTTTCTTGGCTTCGTGGATGTTCTTTTTTCGTTGTTGTTGTTGTTTTTGGTGTTGCTTTGTTGGGTTTTGGGTGTTTGGTGTGTTTCTTTGGCTTTCAGCATGGATGTTCTATTGCAGGGTCTGTGTGTGCTGTTTTTTGGTGGCCAGCTGGGAATGAACGAATGACCTCCAACCATAGGTTTCCTTGCAAAACAGATGGATCCATCTGGGTGCAGCTTGCCTAAATTGGGAGAATCGATGGATTCCACTTATGTCAGCTTGGTTGAACTTGGAAAATAGATGGATCCCACGTTTCACAGTTTGGTCAAACTTAAGCAATATATTCAATCCCGGCCCATGGTGCAGTCTGGTTGAATTCGGAAAATGGATGTGTCCTGAATTTTGTAAAATTCATGGACTCGTTTGGTTGAACTTTGAAAGCAGATGGATTCTTTGGGTTCCATTTTGATTTACCAGTGCCATCTAGCAGGGCGGAAGAACAACTCAGAGTCAGAGTCAGCACTATGGAAGCTGCTTATTTGCATCCCGGTTGCGCGTTGAGGTTCTCCCGTTGGCAGTGCCCAACTCGACCCAATGAAGCCATGCCAACGCCGCACGCCCACGCTAAACCCATTAGCCAAACACTACGCCGACCCTAATCCCCCCAATTGCGAACCTGCGTTTGATTCCTCGACTGCTGGGCCTCATTCCTGAACCTTCTTGGCCAAGCCATGTCAAAGTTGAAGCTGTTTGAGCCACAACCCGGTGCTCTGAACTTTTTGAGACTGGTGGCACATGCCCGGCTGGAGGTGCATGGAAGCGCGGAATTTCCAGGCGGCGCAGGACATGATGCGCCGGTGCCTTCAGAAGCGAAAGTTTCAGGCGGGGGGTTTTGGGGGGCAGTGGGGGAGAATCAGTGAAAGCATGGCTCCATTTGGCTACCTTCCGCGGCTGTTAGATTTCGGGCCAGGACAAACGATTGGCAGGGACAGGGAGGCGAGCACATTGAGCAGTTTGTGAGGGTTGGTGTTTTGAGAAAGAGAAAGGGTGTGGGTTCAACACAGGTACCCAAAATGGAACCCTGGCAAATGGAAGCAAGGACTAAAACCTACGGTCCCCCTGGTGGTTTATCTTTGTTCCATACCCTTGGAATGTTTTAGACGCTTTTTGGTTGACATATTCACATTCATGTGCTCGTATTGCTGGCGCAAATTTGAGAACGTGCATGGAGAAACAGCCTGGCTGCTTTCGATCAATTAGGAAGCTTGCGGGCTCCTGAGTTCAAATATGGTCAAATCTAAGGCATGTTGCAGGGAGTGCGCGGGGGATCCGGTGGTTTTTGTTTTCCTACAGCTATGGCTGGTTTTTAACTAGGGCTGGGTCGGTTGGTCGGTTGGTCGGTCTGTCGGTTGGTCGGTTGGTCGGTTGGTCGGTCGGTCGGTTGGTTGGTTGGTTGATGCCCTAGGAAACAACTAACACCTCTACCGAGTGCGCGGACCTTCGAACTCTGTGTCCAGTTGTCAAGCATCAGCGACTCACTGACCCCAGGGGGCTCGAACGCTGAAGTCTATGAAGTGTTAAGCATCCCAGGATGTGACCACAAGTTCACATCACGCTGCAGGGCGCCCCCGCAGACCATTGATTTATGATATGACCAAATGATGAGCATGGCATTGCCCGAACTCGCCAATGTACCTCCGCAGCTCGTGCACACATGCAGTTTGCCAGAACTGAAATGAACGCAGTGTGAAAGGTGAAGCCCATGGTGCACGGGACAGACAATAGCAAGCCTTGTCACAGTGTGAGGGCGCATTTCCCCCGGCATTGGCCCAGAATGTAGATCGCGATTACAATGAACCAGGTTAAGTAATGGCTAGTCGTTCCTTTCAGAAGGCACTGAACGTGCGGAACTGGTCTTGATGGCGTATGCATTTGAGTGGTTCCGGGCAGAACGTGCAATGCCCATCGCCTGATTTGTTTGTACTGCGCTACAACCATTAAACTCAAAGTGTGAGTTTCAGATGTCATGTGCAAACAAGCTTGCGAGCAGCCCAAGCGCACTTTAGGGGCAAGTTCCATGCGAGTTACGTGCGAGTTTGGGGGATCGAAGGACCTTTCAGCACTGTTTGCCTTTCTCTGGGGCCCCTCCTTCTTGTGGAGCGAGAAGTGTATGGCGCATCACTTCCAATTGGTGCTTTGACGAGAAATGTGTGCACGCGTTAGGTCTTGTGCAAGCCAACCTTGCTTGGCTGGGTGATCGGAATGGGTTTTGTTGCTTTGGGTTGTGCCAAATGCCAGGTCGGCTTGGCTTGAAACAGTTTGATTGGGCCTGCGTTAGGAATCTGCTAATTGTATGTTTGACATGGTATGGCTTACGTCAGATTGTATTGAGATTCGGATCAGTGAGGTGTGATGGATTCAACCGACTCAGGTGGTTGTTCTTGGACTTGCTTTGGTTGGGATAGAAGATACTCAGGTAGGCAGGCACAGGTAGGCACAGGTAGGCACAGGTAGGTAGGTAGGTAGGTAGGTAGACGGGCAGGCAGGCAGGCAGGCAGGCAGGCAGGCAGGCAGGCAGGCAGGCAGGCAAGCAGGCGTAGCTTGATGTTGTCGGTGTCGTCGTCGCCGTGATCTTGGTTGTTTGTGGTTTGTTGTTTGTTGCTGTTGTTTGATGCTTTTGTTGTCTGCGTTGTTTTGTTTCGTCGTTGTCGTTGTCGTGGTCGTGGTCGTGGTTGTGGTTGTCGTTGTCGCTGTCGTTGTCGCTGTCGTTGTCGGCGTTGTCGGCGTTTTGTCGGCGTCGTCGTCGTCGTTGTTGTCGTTGTCGGCGTTGTCGGCGTTGTCGGCGTTGTCGGCGTCGTCGTCGTTGTCGTTGCCGTTGTTGTTGTCGTTGTCGTCGTCGTTGTCGTTGTCGTTGTCTTTGTCGTTGTCGTTGTGTTTGTCGTTGTCGTTGTCGTTGCCGTTGTCGTTGTGGATGTCGTTGTCGTTGTCGTTGCCGTTGTCGTCGTCGTCGTCGTTGGCGTTGGCGTTGGCGTTGGCGTTGTCGTTGTCGTTGTCGTTGTCGTTGTCGTTGTCGTTGTCGTTGTTGTTGTTGTTGTTGTTGTTGTTGTTGTTGTTGTTGTTGTTGTTGTTGTTGTTTTTGTTGTTGTTGTTGTTGTTGTTGTTGTTGTTGTTGTTGTTGTTGTTGTTGTTGTTGTTGTTGTTGTTGTTGTTGTTGTCGTTGTCGTTGTCGTTGTCGTTGTCGTTGTCGTTGTCGTTGTCGTTGTCGTTGTCGTTGTCGTGTCGTTGTCGTGGTTGTCGTTGTCGGTCGTTGTTGTTGTTGTTGTTGTTGTTGTTGTTGTTGTTGTTGTTGTTGTTGTTGTTGTTGTTGTTGTTGTTGTTGTTGTTGTTGTTGTTGTTGTTGTTGTTTTGTTGTTTTTGTTTGTCGTTGTCGTTGTTGTTGTTGTTCGTCGTTGTTGCCGTTGCCGTTGCCGTTGCCGTTGTTGTTGTTGTTGTTGTTGTTGTTGTTGTTGTTGTTGTTGTTGTTGTTGTCGTTGTCGTTGTCGTTGTCGTTGTCGTTGTCGTCGTCGTCGTTGTCGTTGTCGTTGTCTTTGTCGTTGTCGTTGTCGTTGTCGTTGTCGTTGTCGTTGCCGTTGTGGTCGTCGTTGTCGTTGGCGTTGGCGTTGTCGTTGTCGTTGTCGTTGTCGTTGTTGTTGTTGTTGTTGTTGTTGTTGTTGTTGTTGTTGTTGTTGTCGTTCTCGTTGTCGTTGCCGTTGCCGTTGTCGTTGTTGCCGTTCCCAGAGGATCCAGGATCAAAAAAAATCAATCTTTTCCTATAAAAAAATATCAATCTTTTTGGAGATCAATCTTTGCATTTTATAGCTGTTTTATGTGTTCCCAATCACATCAAGGAAGATCAATCTTTTCCTGAGAAAATATATAAAACATATCAATCTTTTTTTGCAAAATATCAATCTTTTTTGCACAAAAACTTGACATGTCCAAGAACTTAAGGATCTCATTTGCCCTTCTGCAGGGCACATGCAGCACACCACTTCTTTTTTTGCCTGGCGAAATATGTTAACGTTCTGTGTCACAGCAGCCCCTTCCAGAACCTGACATACATCATCAGCCGATACTTTTTCAAGATCTTAACAGAAAGCAAAGTGGCTGTTGTGCCAAACGATGCTGAGTGTGCAAGCTTGCTGATTCTGCCCACATAGTCTTCAGCCTTAAAGCACCATGCGTGTCTGGGATTGCCAAACCTGAAAGCAAGGGCCAAATGCTTGGCCATGTGAAATTTGATCACTGTGTGCCAGGTGAAGTCATTGGACCTGTGCAGCTGCAGCCACTTGTAATGCCCCAAAAAGGAAGTCATCAGAAAGGCTGCCTGGCAGGCCTCTTGCTCACTTGGAAACCTGGGAGCTGCATCCATCAAATCTACAAAAGCTGCCATGTCTTCAAAGATAGCCAGGATCTTGGAGGAGACTTCATCTCCTTCATGGAACTCCACTGCCAGTTGTGCAAACAGATGCACCAATGCTTTGCATTCCCCAGCTTTTGCCCTAAGGAAAGGCTGGGTCTGATGAGGCTTGTCGGGGCTGGTGAACATGGATAGCTTCAATGTGGGCAGCCTGCAATCCACTTCAAAGTCCTTGTAGAGCGACTGTATTTTTTGCCAAATATGTTTGACTTTGTCCCTTATGCTTCTTCCTGGCACAGCCTTGCAAGTGTAGCACCAAAACTTCAACGCATTGCCCATACAATGAGAAAGAACACCTTTGCAAAACAGGATGTGCATTGCATCCTGTGCAATATTGAAATGGGATACTCCATGAATGGTAAAGAGTGGGTGTGCTGAGATCCTGCAATTCATTTCTTCTTGAGGTAGCCTCCAGCCTTCAATGTCTTTGTCCAGGTTGCTCTGCTGCTGAGGGCCAGTCATCTTACACTCCCAGCAGGGCTGTGCGTTCATCCAATGTGGCAGCTTCAGGACATTGGCAAAAAATTCTTGGTCACCCATGACCTGCCAGATTGTAAACCTGTAATTGTGAACAATGTCAGTCTTTCCTGCCTGCAGCTTAGAAAATGAAGGAACAATATGTGACCACAGTGTCTCCCAGGTTGCACTCACTGCACAATCTTTGGGAAAGGCCAGCAGCAAGAGAGATGAGCTCAATGATGGGCCTGAATTCAAGACAGAGCCCCAGGAATACACCATCATAGTTTTGCCATCGGCATACTCCACACCATCTCCATGAACCCAGAGTGGGACTGTTGCTGGTAGGTCCTCATGCTTTAAGCTGGATTCCTGCATGAGTATGGTAAGCCTGGGGTCATCAGGCCTAACATTGTTCCAAAACTCTAGTAGGCCATCTGGTTGGAAAATGCTCTGGAAATGCTCTGGGCTCTCCTGCAATGCTGCCACAGTGTTGCAAGGGTCAAAAAAAGCAACGTCAGTGGTCTCTTCCTCACTTGTCCTGGGGTTGGAGCAAGGGCAATCCTTGATGATAGTGGGCTCTGCAAAGGATGCCTTGCTTTCTGAAACCACCATCCTCTCCAAATCCCTGGACACATTGTTGGGGTGTTGCCCCCAGGAGCCACAGCTGGCCACCTTGGCCACGGCAGGGTGCTTCAGCCCATCCAGAAAAGCACTGTGTGCTATTTTCTGGCAAGCAATGGCAGAGATGTCACCAAGAGTCCACAGCCAAAGCAAGTGAGTCTGCAACACTGATTCTGAATCTGTGTTGGCTGCTTTGGGGTCGCGCAAGCACCCCAGGCTTTGCTTGTACCCAGGCATGATGCTTATCGGCTGCAGCATGATCCTATACTAGCTATAAGCTGGAATGCACTTCTGCAGCGCAACAGATTCACAACCTGCACTTTTTCCTTTGCTGCACCTTGGC